GATAGGGAAGGAAGGAGTCCAGTGCGTCAGCCAAACCCAGAGCTGGCAGTAATGCAATTACTGTAATGAAATTACAGTAATTTAATTACTTGTTCCAGTAATTAGTAATGTAATTCATTACTTTTTGTAGCAGGTAATTTAGTAATGTAATGAATTACTCCAGCGACGGTAATTGTAATTAAATTACCTAATTACTTTTTCGCACCAGGCATATTTTTTGTGTCCACAATACACAAGAGCGCTTTTCTTTTTATTTTACTTTTTCTTTTTCGTCTACACCTTTGCAAAAAACGCTCTTTGGCCGCCGCTATGTTGCTGATGCTAATGCGGCTGGTGCGACTCTCGCGCCCGCTACTAGCTAGACATTTTCTGCCACTCTCTTGAACTGTGAAAACCCGCTCAGCGCGATTCTCTACCTATGTTTTGCGGTTTTGCATTCGACATTTTCTGGCCCCTCTTGAAAGTTTCCGCTTACTTTTTTCTGGTGCATACTGCGTACCCTCTCTGTGTTATCTTCCACTGTGAGAAATAGGGCTGGTAAGTGCCTTCCATTCGAGCTTTTCTGCTCGACATTCTCGGGAAACGAAGGAGGGGAAGTAGGTCGAACTAAGGCCCCTGGTGGAACGGCCCTCGACGCGATTTTGCGAACAATGATAATTGTTCTCCCCCCTCCCAGAGATAATCCGCGTAGGGACCTCAGTCATCTCCAAAAATAGTTGTCCAGGTTGGGGTGGGAAACGGATCAGTCGCGTGCGTTCCTCTGTCCATCGGTAAACATGCGACAGAGAGTTCTAGCTGTGTGCCATGAACTGTGTAAATAATGTAAATAAAGTTATCTGTAAAAGGAAGTTATTAATAGCTCCTTTATATTTAAAAGTATACAAAAGTAATGCGAAAGTAATGTCATTACTTTTAAAAGTAATTTGTAATAGTAATTAATTACTTTCTGGCTGTGGTAATTTGTAATGTAATTTAATTACATTTCAGCAATTTTCAGCAAAGTAATTAGTAATGTAATTTAATTACAAAATATGAGTAATTTGGCCAGCTCTGGCCAAACCTCGATAAATTTACATGGAAAAGAAATAGCTTCTTTGAGCGCGTGTTGATGCGGTGACGGTCTGGTGATTTTTTTGTTTTTCTTGGCGTTTTCTTTTCATAAAACGTTCATTTGAAGCCCCAGCGCTAGTCCTGTCCATTTCTCTCCTGCGTCCGTGTTTGTTGGCGCGCAGCTACAAGTTTGTTACCTGTTTTTATTGTAACCCATCTCTTATGAAATACCGCCCGGGGTGCTTAAAGTGTTTAAACAAATAAATAAATAAAAAATAAATAAAGTAAACAAAAAGGGGGCGTATCGAGATTATTATATTTATTTGGAATTATTTTATCCCACAGCAAGAGAGGAATATAACAGTACTGACATTTGAAACTGTCAGCCACCGAACAAAGTTCCGGTAATGCCACCCCAGCGAACGACGTTTCTCGGATGCTCAGTTGAAGACTATGAAAGAGGACTTCAAACAAAACAGAAAAAAAAAATAGTTGAACAGTCGACATGCTGAACTTGCTAAGCTGACAAACCTACGAACAAAATTTACAAAGAAACATTTTCTCTCTCCTTCCCCCGGCCTCCTTCCAAGGCGCGGCGCGTCAGCAAATCATCGCCGAGTAACGCTGCCTCCGACGACCCATGTTTTTCTCTTTTTTAGTAGGTAACAGTCCGAACACGTTGAAGAAAATATTGTTATTCATAGAAATGGACCACAGGCGACCCTATAAACTATACTGCCGATGCAGCGCGGACCGCGGTCCCACCTTCCTTCAGCGTGTCGCTGCACTCAAGCGGAAGGTCACGTGGTGCTTGCGCTCTTAGTGCTCGATTGGCTAAATGACTCATCGACTGCAACTGCGGTTCATCTTGAGGTCAAACATTCGCGGACGCGTAGGCCTCCGTGCCTAAAGAGGCGCAATCCGCTCCGACACTTGGACATATCGTAGGCCAGCGGCCAAGCGGTGCTTTGAAATCGCCGCCGGGGTCAATCCAAGAAACAAAGTAAAGTAGAAGATCTCCAGTTGCCTAAGTAGAGGAGGGAACTGAGCGAGCTCGCTGACCACACGGTCTCTTTGTGTCTCTGCTTTTGATGATGATGTATTTTCATTACGTATGCAATAAAAACTAAATGTAAAAATATCTGACAGTATGTAGGATTAGTCTTGGCAATATTCGCCTCGAGATCGAACCGTGCCGCCACTGTGCGGCCGAAATTGGAAACGCGCGAAAGCGGGGATACCGCCGTGCGTCGTCTGCTATACGGGCGCACGCTCAGAAGCATGGACCTCGACGACGCAAGCCCGTTTCCGGCTGAGCTTGATATTCCTTATTAAATTCTTTATGTTTTTGTTGCCGTTTCTTCTTACTAAAGGTTGTGTTGTATCGTTTGCCATGCGTAGAAATTCAGCAAAGCGATTATTATTAAGTCGGAAGCTTCCATAATCTTAGTGTGTTGTTTTTTATACAATCGCTGGTCCCACGTATTTTTGTTATCTCGCACAAACCGTGGCTTTCATAAAGCATTGAATGTTGAGTGGGTTTGTGGTTTGATTAGAAAATTAACCCGACTAATCGCTATCCTTAAAATAGACTAATCAATTAATCCGTACGTTGATTTTTTCCCGGTCATATTGCGTGAAAGACGTTAAAACTACATATTTTGTACTGGTTTTACTATGTCACAAATGGCATATTGCATTCCCATTCTAGACTTCACGCTGTGAGTCCTACATAAATATGATCACGGGAAGCCTTTTAAAATAAAGTATTTCTTAAGTTATTATTTAAACAGTATAATCACCCTCGGCGAAATGACAAGCACGCTGAAGTGGTTTACCGTGCAAGCTAGTGTCACAAAAGAAATAAAGACGTCAAAAATATTGAAGCCGGCATATTTTACTGCTTGCTGACTTTCTCCAGTACTAGACTCCAATTGAATGGCAAAAAAAAAAATTGAAATTAAAGCATTACTTGAATAATCTAAAAGTTAATCGATGAACTGCCCAGTCCCGATATAGGTTAGGTGAGGGCGGAGGGAGATCGGAAAGTCTCGTGAAGGTCGCTAGCCCTCATCAGTAAAAGAGTATCACTGCGGCCGATGCTGTCTGTGTCGTGGTGCGCGTCGTTTGTTGGGGTTGCAGAGTCTACTGTGTTTGAATACAAGATTATTTAGCCAGAAATGTATAGTATTAGCCTCTTGACATCCGCGGCCCTCACCAAGAAAATTGAAGGGGGTGAACCCACACTACCGAGAAAAGCATTTAATAGCAGGAACATTGTTGCGTTGCTCGGTTACACTCGTTTATTACAGTCACGGCAGATATATTAGAACAGTTTGTTTCACTTGTTTCAGTTGTCCTGCCAACCGTGCAGTTTGCAGATTTTAACTAGAAGAGACACTCACTCCTCATCGCAACGCAGTAGATTTGTTCAGACTCCAAAAAATTTACCCACACTATGGCACAGTAAAAGGGCAGAGGAACTCAATAGCATGGTAATTTCTAATACAACGCTAGCTTATCTTCATTCTGAATATTTATATTACTGCAAAAGCTTGACGTTAAAAAAAACATAGAAGCTGCGATTTCACAGCCCACAGTACCAGTATTATGTTAACTGGGTCGGACTTTATTTTTATTTTTTTTTATTTCCACGTTGATGAACCGATACATCCATTTTAAAAGAAACAAATATTTAACATAAATATTCCAGTTCAGCCGGAGACAGGCATCAGTCGTGGTGATCCATGCTTTCCAAAGTCTGCCTAGAGCAGACGACGCACCCACAGAAGCGATTATATAAATTTGGGCCGCACGCTGGTAACACGATTCGATCTTCACTGAAGCACCGAACAGTACTGCATCTTTTTCCGCTAGAATTGTTTTCCCACCGATAGTATGCGACAAAATAAACGGAAGAATCTACGCCGTCTCGCGCGCCGACGTGGAGAGCCTATGGGGCGGCCGTTCTCCTATCCCCGCTTTGATGATGATGATAGCGCGACCGTAGCGCCACCTCTAGGTCGATCTCGAGGCGAATAGGAAATACGCCCGCAACTTTTCCCATTAAGACCAATCATTGACAGAATTGACCCTGAACCGTTTTCGTTGAACCGGTAACCGTCACATCAAATTATGGTTTTGTTCCGGTTCGGGTTTAATATGAAGCGTTCGATTTCGGTTCCGGTTTTGTAACGGTTCGGTAAAAAAAAACGGTTTTGATCCGGTTTTCGGTTCGGGTTCGGTTCGACACCCTGCCGCTAGAGGCCGTCAACCGCGGGATTTGGGACGGTCACGTGTATAGTGGTCAAAATTGTAAAACATGGCGGCAGCCATTTGGGGGTCCCTTTTTTGCCTGGTGAACGGCTTAGAGCGATACCAGTAGTATCGCTCTAAGCCCTTCTACCTCGTTGTTTTTTACGGAATGCCGTAAAATGTTTCCCCTGCTTTTCTATCTTTTTATAGTTCTAGAAAGAATCGATTGAATGGTTCTTGATTATGCTCAGCAAGTTTCTAAGTGAAACCATACGTTCGTTTTTACTAATTAATACTAATTACTAAATTTTTGTTATTTATCTCGCTAATTGGTATGTTTTGGCAATCCTTAACGGACGCCAAGAGTTTCTTTTTATCTCAAACAGCTAATTTTTAGAAATATTTGAAGGCTTTCGCGGAAACACGCTTTATATATGTAGCTGCGTCTTAGTTTAGTTTTAGTGTATTTTATCAAGACGTACACATTTGAAAAGCCAAGATAATCGCTTCTTTCTTCGACAACCAAACTTTGTAAGAACAACATCGTTCAGCGCATAAATAATACGCAAAACATGCTTTTTTCGTAAGCTGACCACGAGTAAAGGCTTTAAAACCAACCCATAAAGAAAGTGTCTACTTCGAAAGCAAACATGGCCACAGCTGAAGCGATACCGAGGCAAAGGTGGGTGGCTCACTTTTTGAACACGTTGATCCACTCCGTGATGTGGTGCCAGAGACACACGAACTCCTCGAAGTCGATGCAGCCGTCGAAGTTGCGGTCAAACAACTTGACCATCATGTTGACCAGGTCCTCGCTGAAGGGCTTCCAGGTGCCGTTGGCCAGAGCTCTCTGCAGTTCCGAGGCGGTGATGGTGGTGGTGCGGTCCCTGACCACCGAGCGGAACACGGACATCAGGAACGCGTGGTCCCTCGTTTGTATCACGCTCCCTTGTCCCGTCATGCCGGTGCCGAGACGTCTTGCCCTGCATCGGTGTTGTGCCCGTTATCGAAAATAAGGAACGAAAGAGCGTTACTTACTTGCTTGAAAAAAAAAAAAAAAAAAAAGCTTACGCGTTACAGAGCTTCGTTACCATTTTGCAAATGTAACGAACAGGGATGGGCAGTATTTCAAATACTTTGCGTATTTTGCATTTGTATTTAATTACAAATTGGGTAATGTATTTGACGTGTGTATTTAAATACTAAAACGTGGGTATTTCAGATGCAATTGTAATTAAATACAATTTTGTGGGTGAAAATACATCTTGTTTTTATGCATGTGGTTGTAACATATAGTCTCCATCCTTTATTCGGCCATGGGGCTTTTTTCTTTTTCTCCTCCGGCTTTATTTTAAAGGCACTGTCCACAGCAGAAAGAAAACTACGTTCTGCACCGAATGCAGTGTCTCTCAATCAAGCACAAGCGTTTAGTGACTTTGTGATTACGGTGCTAGTCCAGGGCAGGAATAGTGACGAAACGGACATTCACATGCAGACTGGCTAAATAAGTGACTGTGACAACTTGTGATGCTTTCCAGCCTGATTTCCATCCATATTTTTGCCTGGAACCTTCTAAATACGCGGGTCGTCCAGATTTTCGTAACTGGTGCGAGTGGCAACAATAAAAAATTCTCTAGCTAGTGCTGCGCGTCTTGGTCGTCTCGGTTCTTTGTTGGTCTAAACCGAAATGTAATCGACAAAAAAAGCTGCTTGAAGCTCTGTACTTTTTTCGCCTATTTACGTCCAAGCTGATTACATTTCTTTTTTATTATATTTCTTTACGTTACTAGAGCCTCGCACACTAACTCCCGAGCCGAGTGTGCGATGCAAAATTAAAATGAGATACCCAGAAACCCGTTGCGGGTACCCTAAAGTCGCTGACGCAAATGTTAAGGAATGTATTTGGAAAAGTATTTGAAGGAGACCAAATACATTTGGTTGTATTTGTATCTTGTACTTAAATGCTTTTTTTGGAAATGTAATTAGATTTGTAATTAAATACATTTTCGACGAAGTCTTTTGTATTTGTATTTCGATACATATTTGCATGTATTTTGCCCATCCCTGGCCCTGGCACATCGACGGCGGAGCCATAGGGCGCGCGGCCGCAGGAAAAACGAGAGGAGGAACACGCGGAACGGTGACCAATATGGTAGCGCAGAGCAGAAAGGGCAGAGATAGTGTGCGAGCGCTCGGGTCATGAGCGGCCGCTCCCCGAACCACGTTTGTTTTCGTGTTTTCGTCACCGTCGTTTTCGTACTCCGGGAGAAACGGCTGCGGCGACTCGAAAGGCCGCTGGCAGAAAGGCACGATACCGGCGGCGTCGGCGGAGTTGTCGGCGTGCCAGCGGACTGCGTCGTCCGGACCATCGTAACGCGCCGCGGAAGAACCATGCAGTTTTCACTAAACGAAACCGACGGCCGCGATCGTCGGTTTCGCGTTCAAGGACCGTTGCGGAGATGCGGGCGCAGGGAGAAACGGGGAAGGGTTGACGTTGGGAAGCGCCGTTCACTCTTGCAACCGAGTAAGACCGAGAGAGACCAGGCCGGTTTCTAAGCGTTTGGCCGTTCGCTCTTGTGTGGCGCTAGCAGGCAATCTTCCCTCGCTCCCCGTTTCCCCGCCCCTCCTTTCCCATTTACGGCGGCCGTCTCTTCTCGCGACGTCGCAGGCTTTGGTTTGAAGCGTGGGAACGCCAACGCTTCCAAACTTAGAGTTTATCCTTTTTGTTGTTGACAGAACGAGAATTTATTTGTCTCGAAGGATGTGACCAGCTGGAGTAGCTAGGGGCGCTGAGGCAAAATCCTTCGAGCAGTGGCAGACTGTTTGTTGCCCTCTCAACGGATGTCTCTTTCCAGCGAGACGGCTGCTCAGGGTAAGGAGACGGTGATCTTAGCAGGACGCTTAGGGGTTCCGCGCAGTGATGATCTCGCGCCTTTTGGGGTCGTGGGAACTTCCGAAGGGCCTTGAAATGACTCCGCTTATACATAGCTTTGTTGGGGTATTTTTTTTTTTGCCACTTTTACGTAGTGTACAGAATACAAATGAACTGCTATTTTTAATCAACAATAACGAGTAACGGGTAACGTAATTTGATAGGAGATACCGTAAAATAATAACGACATTACGTTACTCGTGAGTCCTTTGGGATTGTAACGAGTACGTTAGTACAAAAAACTAACGCGTTACCAGTAACGTCATTACTGGTAACGCGTTAGTCCCAACACTGCCCTGCATCAAGCCACCGTGCCGAGTTTACCATGAGATGGCGGACGTGAGACTATACAAGCCTTGCACGTGACGTCACTCTAGGGAAGGACGGGCCCTGTACCATGCTGGTGGTGGACTTCACACCGCCCGGATCCGCTTACCAAGGCGTAGGATGCCACTAACTGCCCGGATTATGCGCTGACATGCACCATATTTTCAACAAAGGTGCCTAGTTGCTTGGAAAAACGTGCCGAGCTTACGATGATGACGTTTAGCCAGTACGTGCGGAATTTCTCGGCATTGATGCGATTGCGCTACGAGCAGAAAGTTTCAATATGCCGCCCTCAACGTTTTGAAGCAAAAGAACGTCGTGTCGCAAAAAAAAATGTAATTGCGCGCCCCAAAATTTGGCGAGCGGCTCTAGGGGTCGTTTGTAGAAAAAGTGTTACGATTTTGCAAAATACTAGTCGTAAACAAAGGTACCGTCATAATCTAAACCCTGAGACAACGATAAATCAAACAACGGACAAGACAACTCTCATTGTCTCAGGGTCTATATCAGGGGTGGCCAAACCGCGGCTCGCGAGCCGCATGCGGCTCTTTGCTGGTCCAAGTGCAGCTCGCGGATTCCTCATAAGGAGACCCCCCCCCCCCGCCCCTTTCCGCGTTTCCCCATGAAAAAAAAGAAGAAAGGATTTCAGAATGAAGCGCCCTGCAGCTTGCAGTTTGGCAGCCTTGTACTCCCATACGTACAGTGGTACAGCCTTGTGCCCCCATACGTACAGTAAGACTCTTAACAAAAGTTAAGTTTGCCCCCCCCCCCCCCCCCCCCCCCCGTGGCTCTTAGAAGCTTTGTGGCTTTGTTCGCGGCTCTTAGGCCAGGCCAGCCTGGCCACCCCTGGTCTATATTATGATGTTTCCTAACCGGCTCGCTTGCATACTTTCGCTCCTTGCAAAGGTCACCGTCTCGCGGACGGCACAAACCGATGCCCCGGCGGCGGCTTCTCGGCGAGCTTGCGCACGGGGGCCGCCGCCCACCGATCGCCGTCTGGCCGGGCTCACGGCGCGACACTCGCCCGTACTCGGCCGGGAGCCCCGAAGGCCATAGCCATACACACCACGAACGAGCAAAAGCTGATGCAAAGGCGTGCTCGAACGTAAACAACGGCAGAAAAGTGCCGTCGCTCGCCGCTATGAAATGCGTCCCTCAAATTCGGTAATCCGCGGCCGCATCCCCTTCCTCCCGCTCGTACTTTCTCTAACTTGACGGCTACTCTGTCTCGCGGGGCATGCCGACGAAAAGATAGGACGATCGTCGGGATACAATAGGAAGTTTTCGTTGATCGTTTTCGCCGTTTTGCAGCGCTCTCCGCAACCCGCTGCGATACCCGGAACTCTACAGGCGTCACTATAGGTCAGCGGCACTCGGGGCGGTACCCCCCCTTGGGACGCCACTTTTCTACAGTCAAGGCCATCGGCGCGCAGGCGCAGTAGCGGTTTCTTCGCTGCGTGTAGGGCTAAGCGGGGGGGAAACGCGGTCTACGAAAACTCCCTCGTAAAGTATTTGACTCCCTATTCCTAGAGCCGAGCGCGGCGCAGTTCACCATTGCTCTCGCTGCGAAGGGCCGTTGAGTCAACCACCAGCATGATGGATACCGGTGGCCGACGTCATGGTATGACGTAGGTGTAAGGAATGTATACATTGACGTCACATCAGCTGTCATTCTGGTGGTCTTGCTACCGAACGGGTGTTTCGCGCACACATTTCCCACCCCGAATTTGCTAGCTATCTATCCTCAGCAAAAACAAATAGGAGTGACTAAAGCCGAGCCTGCAAACAGAAAAATAACGCGATTCCCCGTCTCCCAGCCTCTCTCCATGGCTTCACGATTCTCAACGTCATTTTCTGACCGAGGGCGTCGGTCAATAATGCGCTCACGCGACGCCGTCAATGTCCGACGCGCAAACCCTCTTCTCCTCCCAGCATCTCTTTCCCTGGCTGTGCGACGCCGTTGATGAACGAAATCGCCACATGAAAGAATATTTTAAAATTTTACTCGCGTTACTTTTTAAAGCACGCGGGAGCTTTAGAAATGTATACATAGATTGCACGTGACGCCATCGCGACAACGTGGTGCGACGAAGTCACGTGTAAGCCATGTACACACCTTTTCAGCGCTAATCCCGTAGGAAATGAATGTCCATGTCACCGAGCTATCAACGCATACCCGGGACGTCCGATATTTTGCGGAAGAGCTACTATACCGGTCCGGACAAGAAGGCCTGCTAGGGTGTCCTAAAAGGCCATAAACATTTCAGCAGGTAAACCGTCAGGCCAGGGAGCGGACCCGACTTTCATTGCACGAAAGAGGTCAAACAGCTTCTCGAGGGTGGTGGGAAGGAACTAAAAAATTCAGAGCATGGCGGAATGTCACCAGAGAAAAGGCGAACATGCTCGGCAAAATTCGGGGTGAACACAGCAGGGTCCGAGCGAAAAGGGGGCGAAAGGAAATCACCGAAGACTGTACTAATGTCACGGGTGTCGTCCGAAAGGCTAACGTTTGCGAGACGGACATTTGGGACGTACGGCTACCCTTCCCTGCGCTCACCTTTACACCGCTGCATAAATCGTCAATAAAATATTTGACCACCAATTCTCCAAGCGAACGCCAAAAGAACCAAGAAGCGCGAGATCTGTTCAAAATTTTCTAATATACATCTTCCAAGACGTTGTATTGTACAGCCGAAGGCCCT